GAAGAGATCCTCAATTTATAGAAGTCCAAATATTTTCTTCCAAAAAAATGAATTAGTCAAATATGAGAGATTTATGTTTCTTTCTAAGAATAGAAAAATTCATTTATGATAAATATGTTGTTCTTTCATTTAAGAGACGAGAAAATCAAATACGGTAAGAAAGCAAGACAACACCTAACACTAACTATATGTAATATTAATTTTGACTTGATTTTTGGAGAGGTTTTTTTTTTTTTTTTGAAATGCTGCACGAGTATTAGGCACAAAAAGAATCATATGCTAGCTGGTCTCAAGTCTCAACTAGTACTGTCAGTACTTTATTCGGTTCATAATAATTTTCCTTTTTTTACCTTTTTATTTTAGTTCAAAATAAATGTTCTATAATTCAGAAGGAATTAAATTTATTTTTAAAAAAATTTGCTTTTATTTATATATCTCAATATGTCAAGTTAATAATATACAAATTTTAATTAATAGTCACAATATGTGTCAAAGTACCTTTTTCCTCTAGGAGTTAGTATTTTCTTAAGAATTTTGCCAAAGACAAAAAGAGTCACTTATTACGGATCCTATTTTTAGATACTTTTTACTATGAATTTCTAGGAAGTATACCTACTGATCTGTCATCCAGTCTGGTGAATAACAAGGAGAGATTCTAAACTGAAAAATAATGTAAGATAATCATTTTATAAGTTGAAAGAATTAGAAATAAACGACTCATGAACTATATTCAATTTAGAATACAATATATTTAAATCTTGAATTCCTCGTTTCTGAGCCATTGTACTGTTTTTTGAAGAAAAAAATAGAAATAGCCAAATTTACAATTGGTAATTGAAAAATAGATACAATTTTAAAAGTACTCAAAATTTAATCACTTTTTCGTATAAATCTAAAATTTGAACAAACATATCCTTAAAATCCGGAAAAAATCTAGCATAATATGCTGAAGTTTGAATTTTTTATATTTGAAATTCCAGCATAATGTGCTGGAATTTCATGATGTGTGTAGGAGTTCTAACATAATATGCTGGAAGCTTATACGCAGGAGCTCTATAATCCAGTATATTATGCTAAAACTTTTTGTGTACTGAAGTTCCAACAAAATATACTGAAAGTTAATACGCACGAGCTTCATAATCCAGCATATTATACTGGAATTTTCTGTGTTTCAGTAATATAGTGGTTATTTTTAAATAATTTTGTAAATACTAGCTATTTTTTAATTATCAATCCAAAAAGTGGTTAATTAGTACTATTTTCACGTTTTTAAACTCAAAGTACTCAACGTTTAGGGTAATGTGGGCTCCCGATCTGCGACTGAAATCCGAAAAGACTGACCCATAAAGTAACATGTTAGTTGGCCTATAGTTCAGATTCATTTAATTGACGTTTGCTTTTGCGGCCATTTATAGCCTGTTTGGCCAACCTTCTCAAGATTTTTCTCCAAAGCACTTTTTATTTTCCTAATTTGAGGTGTTTGACCAAGCTTATTTGAAAAAAAAGTGCTTTTAGGAAGAAGCAGAAGCAGAAGCAGTTTCAGAGAAGCAGAAAAAAGTAGCTTCTTTCCAAAAGCAGAAGCAGAAGCAGTTTTGGCTTTTCTTCTTACCTAAAATACACTTAACAAAATATAGTATATATCAGAATAACCCTTAAACTTAATACTTAGGATATTGATTTATAAATATTTCTTCTTATTTTTAGAAAAACTTTCTAATATGTAGTGACTTTAGGGGTGAATGCTTTTATATTTATTGAAGGAATTTTAATATATTTAACTTATATTAAAAGAATTAAGTACTTTTTAAGTTTATTTTCATATTTTACTTAAATAAAATGATTTTTTTTAATTATTACATGTAATAACAAAATTCTGATATTATTTATTTACTTATAATATTAATTATTAAGTAAATCTATTCATGTCCTTATTTGTAATTTGACACTTAAAAGCACTTTCTAAAAAGCTTGGTCAAACACAAATTATTTCTCAAAAGTGCTTTTCAGACTAATTAGCCAAACACAAACTGCTTCTCTCCAAAAGTACGTTTTTCAAAGCACTTTTGAAAAAAGCACTTCTCAAAATAAACTGATTTCTCCAGCTTGGCCAAACAGGCTATTAATTTCCTCTCTCTTATTATTTGTTTGTATCAATAAAACAGTACAATAACTAAAATATCACAATTCATTACAATGTGAGAAAAATTAAAAAGAAAAAAAATTCTCATATTGTCTTAGGTGAAATTAGTGTCATTTGCGTCTGTTACCATATTGCATTGTTGTTACTATTATTTGTTGCTTGGTTGTTTTATTTTTATTGTTTCTTGAGCCGGGTGTCTATCGAAAACATCCCCTCTTTCTTTATAAGGTTGAGATAAAATTTACGTACACATTACTCTTCTCAAGCTCCACTTATAGGATTATACTGAGTTTATTGTTGTTGATGTCGTCTTGGTTGAAATTAAAGACAATATAGCTTAGGGGATAAAAGTCACTATAACAACATAATTAATGGAATAAAACGTCACAAGTACATCGTATTACTCTATATTGGAAAAATAGTAAATGGAATAAGACGTTGCAATTATGTTGTTAACTTCTTATACTCGACGACGATAATACCATTAAAGGGATAAAACGTCACAATCATACCATGTGCATTTGATTAATGTAATATCTATGTAGAATTTTCGATAACCTTTTTTGTGGTCACAACCCATAAATTAACGAACAGTTGTCACATTACCCTTTACACCTTGTTCACAAAAAAAGTAGCTTTCATTAATTTTGATAAGAAAGGGAAAAAAATATCTAAGCTCCTACCCTGTATTATGAAAACATCTTTGGGCCAAAGATGGACCATTGTAGTATTGGGGCGAAGTGCAACAATAGTCACTTTAAAGCCCGCTATTTAAAATATATTCATAATTTATAATGTATTTAAATTAGCTAATTCATCCAAACTTCAGGACTAAATATCTTGAATTTAAACAGGACTTAGTGTCCTGAATTTTTGAGCTGCTAATTTGAAATTCAAGATAAGTGTCCTGATCTGAACTACTAATTTAAAATTAAGGACATAAGATTTGAACTTCTAGACACAATTTTCGAACTTTTGGACACGATATCCTGAAGTTTGAACTTTGAGGTTTAAAATCTAGGACGTCATATATGGCAGGAGAAGAAGTAGATGGAATAGATTCAAATAAAGTATTAGTAATGTGAGGAGAAAGTGAAGGTGAAGGTGAAGCATCAGAAGGTGAATGGTGGTTGTCAGAAGCATTAGGAAAGGATGAATCATCAGAAGGGAAAGGAACTGAAAGAGGACTAGAAGAAGTGGTAGCATCAGGAGGCATACCAGATTCAAACCAATAGGTTGGGAATGATGATGAGGTGGTTGACAATGGGGACTTTGACACAACTGGAAGTGAAAAATTTGAAGAGAAAGGGAAGAGTTGTTCATGAAAAATGACATCTCTAGAGACAAAATACTGTTTTGACCGAAGGTTATATAACTTATAACCTTTCTTTGCAAAAGAGTAGCCAAGAAAGACACATATAATAGCTCTAGGTTTTAGTTTGTCTCTTTGAGAAATGGAAACAGTAGCAAAACAGAGGCAACCAAAAGTTTTTAGGTGTGAATAGCTGGGTGTCTTGCCAAACAACAATTCATAAGGTGATTTATTTTGTAGTAGTCTAGAGGGGAGTCTATTAATGATATATGTGGATGTGAGAAGGCAATCTCCCCAAAACCTGATTGGTACTTTGGATTGGAAAAGCAAAGCCCAGGAAGCTTCTAGGAGGGTTCTACGTTTCCTCTCCACTACACCATTTTGTCGAGGTGTGTGTGGACAACTAGTTTGATAAATGATTCCATTTTCAGAAAAGAAGGAAACTGCGGCATTGTTATTTCCTAATTCTAGAGCATTATCAGATCTTATGCTTTGGATGGTGACATAAAATTGAGTTTGAACCATTAACACAAAAGCCTTCAGGAGGGGAAAAACATTACTTTTGGACCCCATTAGATGAGTCCAAATGCATCTAGAGAAATCATCAACAATGGTAAGGAAATATTTGGAGCCTAAATATGTAGAAGTGTGATATGGTCCCTAAGTGTCAACATGAACAAGTTGAAAGGCTTAGAACTATGAATAGAACTATCAGAAAATGGCAATCTAGTTTGTCTAGCCATGGGACAAATAGCACATGGAAAAAATTGTGTAGAAGAAATATAAGAAGAAATTTCAGAGATGTTTTTCATCTTAATAAAAGGAACATGTGCAAGTCTATTATGCCAAACAATGTCCATCTTATTCATAGCAGCTTCATCACAAGAGGGAGAAACAGTATTTACAATACAAGGAAGATGGTTAGAAACAAATGAAGATGACAAGCTGCTACAGGCATTTGACATAGTAAGTTGAGGTTGAGAAGGCTTTTCCCACACAAATTTGTACAACCCACTGTCCAGTTACCAAGATCCAGAGGCTTCTTCAGAGAAGGGCCCTGTATGAGACATGAAAGTCTAGTAAACGAACTATACAATCAAATTGATCTGTGAGTTTATGTACAGAGATGAGATTGTGCTTAAAGGAAGGTAAATAAAGGACATTGTGAAGAATTATAGACTCAGTCAAAACAAAGGAACCTGTGCAAGTAACTTTTATTTTATAACCATTTGGAAGAGACACTAGAAAAGGAATAGGTAAAAGTGTGATATTAATGAGATATTCTTTATTAGCAGTCATATGGTCAGAAGCACCAGAGTCAACTATCCAAGTTAAGGAATCAGATTGATTTAGCAAAGTAGAGTTGAAACTATATACTACATTCTTAGGCAATAGAGTACCAACAAAATTGGCAGAACTCATGATATTGAGTTGAGGACCAGGATCAGAGACATGATATTGTTGCAATAGAGAGAGCAGTTGAGAGTATTGCTACTTTGTCAGCCCAGGCACTACAGAAGCATTTTCAGCAACAGGCACAATAGAAGTCTAATTGGAAGAGGTGCACTCAAAAGCAGAGAACTCAGAATCTGTCACCATATTAGCAGCTGCCTTTCTACCCTTGGTAAACTTGAAGTTAGTAGGAAAGCCATGAAGCTTGTAACACTTATCAATTAAGTGTCCAGGCTTCTTGCAATACTTGTAGAAAAGATTAGAGGTCCTGGACTGATTATCAAAGTTCACTTTTTAAGTAAACTGTCTCTGATGCCCCTAGAATTGCATATTCAGCTAAGGTTGAGTAGTTTTGTTAAAGGAATTCACATTAAAGGAGGCTGCTTTAGGGGTGAATTGAGAAGGCGAGTTGACTTGTCTTTGCTTTTCATCTTGAAGAAGAATGTTATAGACATTATCAAGGGATGATAGAGGTTACATCATCAACAGATTGCTTCTCACACCAACATAAATCTCATGAGGAACTGATGGACCTTGTCCTCCTCTTTCTCCTTTTGAAAACCCTCTTTAGCAGCACAATTGCAAGAATTTGTATGACTACTGCACATTATTCCCAATTCATCCCATATTCTCTTAAGTTTTGTAAAATATGAAGTAATATCAAGGGATCCTTGATAGGTAGAGGCAAGTTCCCTTTTTAGTTCAAAAACTTTAGTCCCATGCATTTACACTACCATACCTATTATTTAATTGTTTCCATATACTTTTGGCTGTCTCAGAGTATTGAACACTTTCAGCTCTATCCGGTGATAATGAACTTGTTAACCAAGATATCACCATATTATTACAACGGTGCCATTGTTTATAATCAGGGGAAGTTGCAGCAGGTTTAGGGAACGAACCATCTATAAATGCTATTTTGTTCCTAGCAGACAATGACACTATCATACTACGTTTCCAACCTCCAAATCCACTCCCTGAAAATGGTATAGGAACTAGGGACACACCAGGCACATCAGACGATAGAAGAAATAGAGGGGATGTAGGGTCAGGAGTATACGCAGAAGAGGAAGTAGAACCAGTCATGGTTAGAACAACTAAATCACCAACAAATACCGTAGACTGAAATCAAATCCAACACATGCAAAAGAGAGATACAAATACCAGCCTTCTTTGCAATGTGAAGAAGTAAGGCCTTGATATAGCAGAACAACTTCAGCGAACCAATGAAAATGGAGGAAACCCTAGCTCCGAAAAATCGAATTAGCTTGAACAAAATAGAGATTCCAGCGGCCATACTACAGAAATTCAGTACGATCTACCGTAAAATGAACTCAAACACGAAGGAAACAAAGTGTTTTTGCCGGAAAATCAAAAAATCACGAAGCTCTGATGAAGACAAATCTCGATGAAAATTGGATGAAAACAGATAGGGGTAACACCGTTCTACATAGATAAGCAAGATTTAACGAATTCCTGCTCTGATACCATGTCAAACCAGTAAAAGAAGATCAGAAATTAAGGTTCGTTAATGGAGGTTGGAGGTTTTCTAGAAAGTTCTTCATCGCAGAAACATAGAGGAAAGAGATGATAAAAATAACCGGCCAACCTTTAACAGTTGTGGCCTCCTTGTATTTATAATCTATCCATACAATGTAAAGAATGGCTAACTACTAAAATGAATAACCACTATGCTATGTTAACAAAAGAATAATGGCTAACTAGTACAAAAGGCTACAAAAGGCTAAGTATAAAATAAATATCTCAGCCAACTTAAGTACGCTACTTTGGGCTTGAAGTGGTGCAAGCTAGAGGCCCAACAGAAAGGAAGTATAAATGACTAATTTATCGCTCGTTCCACCGATTCTTTTGTTGAGCTTTTATCTACTTAGATGAAATGGGTGAAAGAATTTTGGTTTTGTATATAATTTTCTTCTGTCAACGCTGGCGATTTTTAAAGTCTAGGTGTTCTTTTAATTTCTTAGAATACATATTTAATTAGTGTATAAAAAAAATAACATTGAAAGAGTAATTTATATATCTTATAAAATATGAAATTACAGTGGATGTCCATAACCACTAAAGGAATAATACCCACTGCTCTTTTCCATTATCTCCATATCTCCCACTACTCCAATACTTATGGTTGTAACTCACATACTTCCATAACTCCCCCATGATCTCAAATGCTTAATGAATTGACATGTTTATGGCATTCTTTGATATACCTCTATATTGTACTATAAATAGACGACAAGAAGTGATATTGTAAATGCTTGAAAAATACTCGTGAAAGTTGAAACACTTGATGAAATAAATGTTCTTTCTTTCTATCTATATCTTTTGTCTATTTTTGTAACGACCCGACCGGTCGTTTTGAGCTTTTGTACTTTGATCGTCAGTTCTCGGGCCCCGTATGATGTATTATGACTGATGTATATTGATGGTTTTGGTTTTCAGGAAAATCGGAAGGAATTTGAAAGAACAGTCTTAGATGAAAGCTTTGAATTTGAAAGGTTTGACCAAGAGTTGACTTATTTGTATATGATCTCGGATCAGAAT